TCAAATCAAATTTTCTAAACCCTAGTACGCCATTAGAGAAGGTTCAGTTCAAGTATTCTTCTTTTGCAAAGTTTGTTTGGCCTAAAAGCTTTCGAGTTTCGAGCCGCTCCTTCAATGGAGGCACTATCCGGAATCGAAGCAGACATCGAATCGTTTTTCAACGAACAGGATCAACAGAGACCATCATCAGACGGCTGCAAACAGGTTCCGTGGTTGAATTGGGAAGAGTGGGACTTCGTCAGAGAATCTCTCTTCTCTTCTTCTACTGATAGAGCTTCTTCTGCTTTGGAAAGGGTAATACTTTATTCAAAATCATCTTCTGGGTCTATTTATAATTGAGAGTTTATGTGTATATAGCTCAAGTTATGTAAACAGAGTGTAATGTAATCTCTACTCTCCCATGGAAAACCATTGAATTGGTTGAATCAAGCTTGTTGCTTTAGACCAGAGAGCTTAATGGAAGTTTAGATTGATCCTTTATATGTGTAAAGTAGAGATTTTTATGTGTTTTCTCTTTGTGGGTTTCAGGTTGCAACATGGAGAAGTAGAGGATCACTTCCAGCGCCTGTGGATGTTACTGCTTCCCTTATTGAAATTCAACTCAAAGATGGCTTTATTCCGTTAGTTTCTGTCATCTTTTTGGGGACTCTCAAGTTGTCTTCATAACAATTTTGGATGCTTATTGCTTCCGTGTACTCATTTTTCTTGTTTTTATTTCTTCTTGTGATTGAAATAGTAGAGAAAAACAACCAGCAGATGCATTGTATTCAGAGCATTTACTGCAAATGCTATACTGTATGGGAATACTCAGGTGAGTTTACACTACTTCTTGGTATGTTTTGGTTGGTTTAGTTATCAATTGCTGACTAACATCTCTATGTATGAAGGCTTGTGAACTGTGTCATTGAAAGGACAAGGAGGAGAGCAGATGTTTCAATTGCGGATGCAGCTAAAGCAATCGGTATACCTCGTAAATTGATCGATCTCCGTCATGGTAAGAATCTTTGGGTGCTTTTCCTTGCTTGTGTACAGTAAATTTTCCATGCTTCTGATTAATTTGATTCTTCTGATTATAGAGGGTTCTCACCGTGAGCTCCCTGCGCTCTCGGTGCTTCGGGATGCTACAGATGAGGTCCAGTTTTTCCTTCTTAATTCTGTTTAGCATTCTAAATTTCTTTAATTCAAGTATCGTAGCCTCATGTACATGAAGGTCTGCTTTCCTGTAAAACAAAACAAAACAAAAGATCATTTTAAAAAGGTGTTTTGTCTGGTGTAGTTCTTAGACAGTACAGAAGATTTTAATTCGCGTGCATGCATTTGTTGGTCATTGTAGGCACTTGAATGGTTGAAATCTTATTACTGGGAGCCTCAGATGTACCAAATCCCCTTGAAGAGAGATGGGACGGCTAGCATCAGAAGAGAAGTCAAATCCAAACTCCGGAAACTTGCTCTCTGCTTGCGGCTCAAGCGCAATCCTCAATTTGACTCCCCTATGATCAAAGAAAAATGTAAGACAGCTCATGTTTTATTTTTTGGACCATGTGCTAGGGACTATTAATGCCAGGCAAAAATTGCAATTAACCCATCTATGTATCCCTTCTTGCATCTCTACGAAGTTTTCAACATAATGGCATAATTTAGATGATACTTCGATTTGATCGCCGCTAGATTATGTTTCCAGCTCTAGAACTGTGAATAATTTTGGATTGCATCCTTGTGTTTCACATTGCATTTCTGTAATTTTGTATGGTCATATGGTTGGTATTTTTTTTGTGATTTCAGGTTCTAAAAAAAGGATAAGGAAGATTGTAAGCAGCCTGGTTGAGTTATACCCTTCTTTCTCCGCAGAAATTACATCTGTGCTGCTTGAATTCTTACTCAAGGCCATGGATTCTTCTAAGTCGGCAGAACTTCAGGATCAGTCTGCCCAAGATTCCAAGGTCGTACTAGAAGAAGAATGGAAAACTGTAATCGTGGAATTCTCAAATAGAGAACCCGAGTTACTTTTGATTCTACTCAAGGCAGTCCTTGATGTGATCGAAAATAATGAACGGAGAAGATATGAAACTGGTAACTAATAGTTTTTCCTAAATTCTTTTACTCCAAGGAATCTCAACTTAAACTCCAAAGTGTTTCCAGATTGTTTTGAACTTGCATGAATTGTCTGTTGTTTTTCAGATGTGCATCTTACGGAAAAGTCAGCTGAAGAGGCTTCTCAAGTTAAGCATGTCCCTTTGCTGTTTGCATGGCTTGTGACTGTTCTCAATGACTCTAAGCATTTTCAAAGAAACAGTGCTCTACAAGTAAAATCTTCAGATATGTTCCTTATGGAACTTATACGTAAATGTCTGGTCTTGGGAGCCTTAGGATACGTGCTGGTTTTGAAATCAGCACTCCTACTCGGGGAGATTGTAGGAGGCCATGTCTTGAGAAAGAAGCTCATGAAACTTCCCGTCATGCATAGTAGTATTTCATTGGAACAGAGTTCTACTCTTGTAACCACTCCTACGACTCTCCTTGAGCAAGAGAAGAATCTCGGTAGTGTCGGCAAGAGACTCGACTTTATCAAAGTTCAACTCTCAAAGAAGAAAGGTAATGACACAGAGCAAACCAATATCAGATGGAGAAAGGCGAAAATGTGGAGCCCCTGTCCAATTGGTATGTTGCCACGGATCATCGGATCTTCTGGACGTTTACCTCTTCTTGACTGTCAGAATGTTCAGAGCATCTCAAAACAGCCACAGGGTAACAAGAGAGGAGCCGAGTGCAGTAGTGAGCAATTGGAGAAGTCGACATGCAAGCGAAGGAAGAACGCAGAAGATCCTGAACCAAATGCTGTGGCATTGGAAAGATACGAGGAAGAAGCTGAGATGGATATAGAACATGCATATGAGGATATTGAAACTGAAGGAGAAGAAGAGAATCTGATGTTGAAGGACGAAGAGGAAAGCAGAAGCTGCCTTATGATAGGTGGTGAATGGAAAAGAGTTCAAGATGGAGAGCTTTGGGCAATGGCTTCTAATATTAAAATTTGTGTTTGAGACTTTTGCAAATGTGGACTACAAAAGCCAGATGAGATTTTAAATTTTTAATGCTAGTCCAGATATTTGAAAGAAAAAAAAAAGATTATAAGTAAAAGTGTAAAACAAACCAAATAACTTTTTGGCAAAAAGTTAAATAGTTCCCAAGAAGGCTTAGTTGATCAAAGTTGTGGCATACTTGGGACACTAAGCAAAGTAAATAAGTGGATTTAAGGTTCCTTTTCAACAACATTAATTGGATAACAGATTATTTATACATGAATATTTAGTAAACATTGTAAGTATTGATTTTATAGACAGAAAAGAGATGGTAAAAAAAACACCCCAAGACCAAAATGTTACAAAGCTGCCACCAAATCAAATCATGATACGAA